TCCCCCAAATCCCACCTCTCTTCTTGGTAAAAGGGGCGGCTCCTTTGGGCTGGTGATTGGGGCTGCTCCAGAAGGCTCAGACAGCATTTCCTGGTCAGGAAAAGGACGTCCTATTTATCCACTGGGCTGCATAACAAAATGCCATTCTCTACTTTGTTCTGGATGACCGGGCATGGAGGAACGCAGTCAGCCTGAGCAGTTATTATTTTGGTTGTTGTCTTTGATGTGCCAAAGAAATGATGACATAGAAGCCCGGAGCCTGGCTCAGGAGCCAGAAGCTTGTTAGTGATTAGAATGGGGATAAAGGCCCTGTGGAGTTTCCCATTGTGTGTGTAGAGCTCAGAGCTGCCAACTCTCTATCCTGGAGCTTTGAGTACAGTTTGAGCCCCCTGAACTGGCCCCCTGGGAGCTGGGTATGTGGAAAGAGTCAGAAGCAGCTAGGTCTGCCTCTCATCAGAGTCCAGGTTAAGTTGTCCAGCCCAAAGGCTCCTCCCACAGAGCCTGTGGTCTCCTTGCCCCAAGGGTGCACCCTGGGTTTTGTTCTTCCAGGTCACCATCTTGCCAGCCCTGGGGTTGCAGACTGTCAGGCCATGGATCCGGTTCAGCCCTCAGACAATTGAGCTGGGCCCTGATGGTTTTCTCCATTGGCAGTTGTTGCCAACCTTTGAAAACGAGTGAGTTTCCCATAAAAATCTGGATTTCTGGATTCTCTTTAAAAATTGGAAGATTTGGCAACAGTAGGTCTGCATTCCCACAGTTGGCTGGAGTCACGGAACCATAGCCATCGTGGACTGAGCCCAGCCTCTGCAGTTCCCCACTGCTCCTGCCTTTCCCCGAGGGCCCCCGTGCTCAGCCAAGTCACCGGGCCGTTCATCCAGCGGAGAGCGGAGTGATGTGGCTGGAGGTGTGGCTTGTGCTGTAACACCATCACCACTGAGATTCTGCCTTCACCCTCCTGAGCAGTGTGATCTTGGGAAAATTCCTTCATCTCTTGGGGCTGCAATTGTCTATTTCGGTACAGTGGGCATAATATACAGCCTACCTCGCAGGGCTGATGTGTGGACTAGGTGAGATCAGAGTCATAGCTGGTCAGCAGTTGATAACTGTTCCGTGTGGTTGTTGTCATTTTTGTTACTCTCCTTCACCCATTTACACTACCTGCCAGGCCGCCACAGCCATTTGAGTCTAGACTGAATTAGACTGGGCCCCTGAGGTCAAGGATCTGGTGTCTTCGTATTTGCATTGGCTGCCATTCCAGTACCGGACACCCAGTGGATGTGACCAGAGAGCCTGTGTTTTGTGGCTGAATGAGTGAGTTGGGAGCCTAGGAAGAGTAGGGGGCAGTGTAGCTCAGGGTTCTGGCTTGGCTGCTCTCAAATCCCTGCTCTACCCTGATTAGTTCTTTAGCGTAGGTGCACCTCAATGTCCTTACCTGTACAACGGGCATAATAATAGTGTCTGCCACTATTGGTGGTCAAGGGTGGCTAAGGGCTGTGTGGGAGGCGGTGTGAGTCACTTGGCTTAGCCCATACAGGTGTCCTCGGTGGGGTGTTGGTGTCATCATTCGATGTTCATTCTTCCCTGTGGTTGTAACTCCACTTTTTTCTTCCCTGTCTTTACTCTTCTTGCTTTCTCTCTGTTCCTCTGTGTTCAGAGTTTCACTTTGGGGACTGCAGCAGTCAGGATATTTTCAGTTGCACATAATAGATAGCCCCATTTGGCTAGCTTAAGCAGTGGAGGGGAGATGTGGCTGGGATAGAGGGAAAAGCTGGCGTGGGGCAGATGCCGGCTGTCTCTCCTCTGTGAGGTGCTAGGCTCTGTAGTCCTCGGTGAGTGGGCTTCCGTCTTAGACTGACTCCCCTGATGGTTACAGGATCGTCATGAAGGTTTAGTCAGGGTCGCCTGCCCCTGCCTGTGCCCATCGTGGGATCATGCTGATTGGCTCAGGACTAGTAGGACCCAGCCCTGGAGCTAAGGGCTTCCCTGACAAATGCAGGTAACCAGTGGGAGATCTGACGTTCCTTCCTGAGCTGTGGTAGCTGGGTCAGAGGTGCTTTGTGGGCTCCTGGCTCCTCCTGGGCTGAGACCCCACGCAAGTCAGCAGACACACCTGGGCAGGCACCTTGGAGAGAGTGGTGCACCTTGGGTCACATGTTGTTGATGCCACATATAGGATCAGGGAAGCTGGCATTAGTCAGAGTCACACCTCAGTAGAGCTGGGAGGTTAGAGCAGTCTCTTGAGACCAGAGAAAAACACTCTGTCCCCATGAGGACTAGCGGCCATTCACTCTGTGCGTGTGTGCGCGTGCTCTGGGGATTGATGCTCCAGGAGTCCCTGAGGCTTCTGAGCAGGATCAGTTGCCCCAGGTCTGTGGCCCTTGGATTGACAGAGAGCAGCCTCGGCGACAGCTTGGGGATGGAGACTGCCTTGTACTCCACACACTTCTCCAGAGAGCCCAGCTGCGTGAGGAAGGCAGGTAGGGCTCACTGAACACAGGTAGGCAGACTTGTGTGAGACCCCCGAGTGCTGCTCTTAGAGTCGGGGAAACTCAGGAATAGGATAGCTTCTGAATCTTTGCAAGGACTCTGTAACTGGGTGAGTGCGCGTGCGTGTGGCTTCCAGACACAGCCAACTTGGTGGGTTTTGGCGGCAGACTACAGGATGTTGGATTGCATCCTGATTGTGTCACCCTTGGAAGAAGAGGATGAATAAACACATAGCCTTCTCTGCAAGCACAGCACGCCTTAAATTTTGGAGATTTTCAGTCTCGCCCGAAAAGAAAAAAGCTCTAGACTAACAGCTCTGTCCTCTATTTGATCCTCAAGCTGCCATGAGCAGGTGGGACAGAGCTGGAATAATGAAGCTCTGTGTAAGGTGGGCAGATGCGCCTGATGCTCTGGCAGTGAAGCCGTGCTCAGTGATTTATAAATGGTAGTGTTGTCTAGCACGTCGGCCATGGTGGTGGGAGGGTGGGAAGAATGGGAACACTGACCTCCCCCAGGCTGCAGCCCACTTTGAGGAGCTCATGGAAGAGTTGAAAGTCACGATGCATATCAGGACAGCTAATAGTGCGAGGAAATGGGGTCACAGCCAAGTGAGGGGTCTGCAGTGGGAGTACTTAGGGGCCAGGTCAGGGCAGGTGCCAGGGAAAAGGTAGTGAGCTCCAGAGCCCAGGGAGGGGGCCGAGTTTGAAAAGTATATCCAGAGATAACCAGCTGTGCAGGAACCGAGCCTGGGAAAAAGGCCTCAGATGGTAAAGGCCTGGCATGCCATGCTGGGGAGTTTGGACCTGACCCAGCACATGCTATGCTCCATTTACTGGTTTTACTGTAGCCACCAGTGAGAGGAAGCTGCCTCTGGGGCCTCTTTGTTGTTATGTTTGCAGCCCTGGGGGGCCTGGACTTGATTGGGAAGGTTGTGACTCAGTTCCCTGGGTATAGGGCACTCCATCTTTGAGAGCAGAGACTCTGTGGAAGAGGGTCATTGGAGAGAAGAGTTTAGGGGTAACTCTGACTTGTTTGACCAGGTAGCACGGCTTCCCCAAGGGGCCATGTGAGGTCTAGGCTGCCCATGTGCACACTTGGGAGTCTTTGATACAGGGATACATCATGATTGATCTGGGGAAAGGGCTTGGGAAAAGGGCAGGGGGACTTAGTTAATGAAGAGGAGGGAGGTGGGCTTGAGTGTTGAGGGTCTCTGGTTGGGAGGAAAGAATGGTTGGAGGGTTCAGGCTGAGATAACAGGCTGTAGCTCCAGAGAGGCTGAAGGACCGCAGATGCTCCAGAGACCCCTGCGCTGGAGGGCAGGCAGCCAGGGCCCTTCTGGCTGGTCCTCAGCTCCCTCTGCCCCCTGGGCCTGCACCCACATAAGGGCTGCCACTGTCCTGATCTGTGCCCCTGGGGCTGTTTTCAGCTGGGCCTTTCCTCCCCTCTGAAGGTGTGGGCTGGATGGCAGGATGAGACTCAGATCCATCATTCTGCCCTGTCCTTGCTCTGTCTGGCTGGCAGTCAGGGCAGAAGGGTTAGGGGACAGAGGAGGTGTGTTTCTGCCCTACACGGAGCTGCCTGGGGTCTGCCCTCGAGGGAACCAGACCCGGGAATGCCTGGGAACCTTCCCTCAGGACAGCATTCCACCCCCCATTCCCAGGGAAGCAGAGAATCCACACAACTTGGAGCCTGACCTTGACCCTGTGCTTAAGGTCATGCTGGGTCTTTTTATAGTGCTGTGGGCTGGCTCAGTGACCCCTGCTCGCTCAGGACCTGCTGCCTGCCTCTCTGGGCAGGCCTCCACATTCTCACCCAGAATCCTCTAAGCAACCAGGACTGGGACGGGGCTGGGAGGGGGACACGAGCCAGAGCCTGGGAGTCCCTAGAGAGTACCGCTGAGGGCCTTGGACTCAGGATGCCCCAGAGACTGCTCCTGAGACCCAGTGGTGGGTCTGAGTGAGTGCTGGCTCCTTTAGCAGGGCTCATGTGTGCATTCCATGCTTGGGTGCATGAGAAGCAAGGGGTGCCCATGGAGGAATGTGAGCCCAACTGATGGGAGAGCCCCCCAACAGTGTGAGTATGAGCGGGTCAATCCAGACCTGCCCCCGTCTGCATCCTGCTTCAGCAGGAGAGGGCCACAGGAACATGCACATCCTCAGATCTTGGCTTTTTGAAATCTTTAAGACCTAGGGACCATTTGGGGCCTCCAGGTGAGCCCTTGGGGCAGAAGCCTTGGACCTGGGGCCTTCTGCCAGGAGATACCTCTGGCTCAGGCATCCCTTGCCAGTCCAGTAGACGCAGAGCCCCACGTAGAGTCATGGGTCCTGAGGCCCATGGGGCTCCCTGTGTGGAAACTTGGCCTGGAGTTGGAGCTCCAGTGCACTCACGATGTGTCCTGAGATTTGCTGATATCTGAGACAAGTTTGAGGGGTGTATTGACTCAGGTTTAGCCTCCACTCTTCTCAACCCCTCTTCCCCAGTGGGCTCACTGCATCTCTCTTTTCTCTTTGCAGAATGCAGAGCCAGAGCCCAGGAGCCTCTCCCTGGGTGGTCATGTCGGTTTCGATAGCCTCCCCGACCAGCTGGTCAGCAAGTCGGTCACTCAGGGCTTCAGCTTCAACATCCTCTGTGTGGGTGAGTGTCATGCCTGGCCAGGGAACAGCCTCCACTGAAGACGAACGAAGGCTTCCTGGGAGATGAGATGCCGCTGTCCTGACTACCCGTTGAGCTGCAAGGGGACCTCCCAGGCAGAGTGACACTTTGGGGGCTCAGGATGAGGCTTTGGTGTGTGTCTCTGCCAGGGTCAAGGATAGAGTTGGAGCCAGGGCCTGACTCAGTTGCCATGAAGAATAAACAAGATTAGGTACCTGAAAGTGCTTTGTAAACTAAGGGTATTTATCACAGTGGTTGGGATCCATTTGTTTGTTTTAAAAACATGTATTGTTCTTACCATGTGCCAAGGACACTGGTAAACCAGACTCTGTCTCCATTACATTGTCATGTAGTAAAAGCTCCAGCTCTAAACAAATACACCCCCAACAGGGAGGCTCTGGAAGGTTCCATGTACCCCAGGGCACAAAGAGTTCTGCCAGACCCCCCACAGGTGCTCTGGGAACCCCTTGGAAAGCAACCTCTCCTGAGCCTCCTCCCTCCCCATTTAAAGCTTCATGGGGTTGAGGCCACCCGTGACAGGTGGGCTGAGCCACTCGTGCCTTTAGACCTCGGTCCTGCTGGCCCCATGGCCCAGGAGGAATGGCCTGCAGAGCAGGTGACCAGGTCCCATTGAGGCCCAGAAGAGGCCAGTGACCACTGATGTCTCCCAGCTGCCTGGCTCTGCTTCTTCCGCACTCCCAGCAGAAACATCTGACACAACCCACATAGCCACATCTTATGTCCAAGCCAGCCTTTTGGCTCTTCCTTCCACATGTTATTTCTGAGGCCACTAAGAAGGGATGGTTCTTGGGGTTAGGGACAGTGAGGGATGGAGTGGGAGGCCTGCCTCTCTCTTGTATGGAGACCAAGGGTGCCTGAGCCCCTCCTGGCCTAGCTAGGAGCCAGGACAGCTCCAGTTCCAGTCTGTGACAGTCCTTCTGCCCACTCCCCACTCCCCCAGGGGAGACTGGCATTGGCAAGTCCACACTGATGAACACACTCTTCAACACGACCTTTGAGACCGAGGAAGCCAGTCACCATGAGGAGTGTGTGCGCCTGCGGCCCCAGACTTACGACCTCCAAGAGAGCAACGTGCAGCTCAAGCTGACCATCGTGGATGCCGTGGGCTTTGGAGATCAGATCAATAAGGATGAGAGACTCTTCTCAACCCCTCTTCCCCAGTGGGCTCACTGCATCTCTCTTTTCTCTTTGCAGAATGCAGAGCCAGAGCCCAGGAGCCTCTCCCTGGGTGGTCATGTCGGTTTCGATAGCCTCCCCGACCAGCTGGTCAGCAAGTCGGTCACTCAGGGCTTCAGCTTCAACATCCTCTGTGTGGGTGAGTGTCATGCCTGGCCAGGGAACAGCCTCCACTGAAGACGAACGAAGGCTTCCTGGGAGATGAGATGCCGCTGTCCTGACTACCCGTTGAGCTGCAAGGGGACCTCCCAGGCAGAGTGACACTTTGGGGGCTCAGGATGAGGCTTTGGTGTGTGTCTCTGCCAGGGTCAAGGATAGAGTTGGAGCCAGGGCCTGACTCAGTTGCCATGAAGAATAAACAAGATTAGGTACCTGAAAGTGCTTTGTAAACTAAGGGTATTTATCACAGTGGTTGGGATCCATTTGTTTGTTTTAAAAACATGTATTGTTCTTACCATGTGCCAAGGACACTGGTAAACCAGACTCTGTCTCCATTACATTGTCATGTAGTAAAAGCTCCAGCTCTAAACAAATACACCCCCAACAGGGAGGCTCTGGAAGGTTCCATGTACCCCAGGGCACAAAGAGTTCTGCCAGACCCCCCACAGGTGCTCTGGGAACCCCTTGGAAAGCAACCTCTCCTGAGCCTCCTCCCTCCCCATTTAAAGCTTCATGGGGTTGAGGCCACCCGTGACAGGTGGGCTGAGCCACTCGTGCCTTTAGACCTCGGTCCTGCTGGCCCCATGGCCCAGGAGGAATGGCCTGCAGAGCAGGTGACCAGGTCCCATTGAGGCCCAGAAGAGGCCAGTGTCCACTGATGTCTCCCAGCTGCCTGGCTCTGCTTCTTCCGCACTCCCAGCAGAAACATCTGACACAACCCACATAGCCACATCTTATGTCCAAGCCAGCCTTTTGGCTCTTCCTTCCACATGTTATTTCTGAGGCCACTAAGAAGGGATGGTTCTTGGGGTTAGGGACAGTGAGGGATGGAGTGGGAGGCCTGCCTCTCTCTTGTATGGAGACCAAGGGTGCCTGAGCCCCTCCTGGCCTAGCTAGGAGCCAGGACAGCTCCAGTTCCAGTCTGTGACAGTCCCTCTGCCCACTCCCCGCTCCCCCAGGGGAGACTGGCATTGGCAAGTCCACACTGATGAACACACTTTTCAACACGACCTTTGAGACCGAGGAAGCCAGTCACCATGAGGAGTGTGTGCGCCTGCGGCCCCAGACTTACGACCTCCAAGAGAGCAACGTGCAGCTCAAGCTGACCATCGTGGATGCCGTGGGCTTTGGAGACCAGATCAATAAGGATGAGAGGCAAGAGGCAGGAAGGGCGGTGTCTCCCCCGTCCCTCCATGTTGGCCGTGGTTCTAACACTCTGCCCTAGCGCTCCGCACTCCTTGCTGCCCCCAGACAAGTAACCAGCCCGCACTCCATGCGGTCCATGGGAGGGGTGCCTGGAGAATATCTAAGGTCCTGAGGACCCCGTGGGGGACCAGGAGAAGGGGTCAGCCACCTGTACCCAGGCAGGAATCCCCAGGTAGAAGCTGTTTGTTCTCACAGAGAGAAGGCTGGTGGGCAGCTTGGCTGGGCTCCGGGCCCTGGGCCGTGGCCCGGCTGTCTGCCTCCCTGTGATGGAGCTGTCTGTAGTTACAGGCCCATAGTCGACTATATCGATGCGCAGTTTGAAAACTACCTGCAGGAGGAGCTGAAGATCCGCCGTTCGCTCTTCGACTACCATGACACGAGGATCCATGTCTGTCTCTACTTCATCACACCCACGGGGCACTCCCTCAAGTCGCTGGATCTGGTGACCATGAAGAAACTGGACAGCAAGGTGTGGCCCCCTTCCAACTGATTCTGTGGGTGCCCTGTCCTCAACAGAGACGGGGCGCAGTGGCTGCATGCAACTGTCCACTACAGTCCCCAGGGGCTCCGCTGGTTGGGGGCTTGCAGGCAGCTCCCTTGGCTTGGTTCTCTTGGTATCTTCTCTTCTGTCTGTCTCTATGGCTCCAGCCGGTCCCCGTTGATCTGACCTCTTCAGAGCTCTGTCCTTGCCTCTGGCCCTGGGCACCTTCCCTCCAGCTGAGATTGATGCTTATTCTCAGCCTGGTGGCTCCTGGCATCCTCCTCATGCCCCTAGAGTTGCCTCCCCACCTCGCCTCTGTCCCTCTGTCCCTCTAACCTCCACTCCCCAGAGCATGCCAATTCTCTGCTCTTTTTCTCTCAATTCCTAGTTCCTCTGCCCGCTTCGCTTCCCCTGGCCTTCCTGCTGTGACTTTCCCTTGGGGTCCTCATGAGCCCAGCAGAGAGAGGAGAGTTAAGCCCCATAATTGGAGTAGGAATGAAGAGTGTGTATTAAAAAGGCAACTGCATGGGAATGACAGGAACGATGGCGGGTTGTGGAGGGTGTACAGCCCCAGGGTCACCTGTCAGATCTCATGTAACTATGCTCCCCATCTCAGGAGTTAATTTTCACTGTGAACAATGAGATAACTTTGGCCTGGGAGATATTGAGGTCTTCCTGTGGCTACTGCTAATGGGTCATCTAACTTGTGTAGGGGCACAGCCCCCTACTGCCACTCCTATCAGGCCCCATACTGGCTAAGACCTTCAGAACACTCTGGGTCAAAGCTGAGTATGCCCACAGGACACATTTGGGGCTGGATGGAGGTTGAGCAGAGCAGGGAGGGGCTGTAAGAAGCACTGCAACCAATTGTCACGACCTGTCAGAATGGTCCCACCTGACTGGATTCAGGCTGGGACTCCACTGGGGAGCTTTGGAAGCAGCTCCATCTCTTTGGCTTCCTGCCCCTCTGCCCAGGGGCGTGACCTGAGATGGGCTATCCACAGTCAGGGAGCAACTCACCCCTGACCCTCTCCACAATCCTGGCAGGTGAACATTATTCCCATCATTGCCAAAGCTGACACCATCTCCAAGAGTGAGCTCCACAAGTTCAAGATCAAGATCATGGGTGAGCTGGTCAGCAATGGGGTCCAGATCTACCAGTTTCCCACGGATGACGAAGCTGTTGCCGAGATTAACGCAGTCATGAACGTGAGCACTGGGCAAGGGTCTGAGGGCTCTGGGGTTGGAGGGCTTGAAGCTAGCCCCCTGGCCACTGTCTTTTCCTTGGGTTCTAGCCTTAACTCTCCAGGAAAGATGGCCGGGCACCTGGAGTTGGCCAGTCCTGAATCCTCTGGACAGGGGATGGGAAGAATTGGGTATTGGGCTGGTCCTGGCACTTCTCCAGGTTTAAGTACCCCAAGGTATGAACCCAAGGCAGGGACCTGAAACCTGCAGGATTGAGCAGGCAGGATGCCCGGACTTGGGAACCTAGAAGGGAGGTCCACAGGTCTTTTGAGGGAGCTTCTTTCTACTGGCTCCTGAGGAGCTCAGGGGCTGAAAGAATACCCTATAACAAGAGGAACAGGGTTGTGGGTTCAGCCCACTCCCTTGTTTGGAGGTCCTAGGATAATTCTCTAAAGGAGAGCCCGAAAGTGAGCATCTGGCCCTGCCTTGTTCAGGTCTGAGTAACCCCTCCCTGGGGCCCAGGGGCAGCGAGGGTGGGTCTGTCCACGAGCCCAGGTCTGCTCAGTGCTCACATACACTTGGGCCCCTTTCCAGGCACACCTGCCCTTTGCCGTGGTGGGCAGCACCGAGGAGGTGAAGGTGGGGAACAAACTGGTGCGAGCGCGACAGTACCCTTGGGGAGTGGTGCAGGGTGAGTGTGGTGGTGAGAACACAGCCCTGGCTGGCAGCCTGGCCTCAGCCCCCTGTCCTCCGTCCTCCCCATGACCATCTGCTGCCTGTCTTCCCTCTGGGGTCGGCCTCTAACACCCACCGCTGCCCTGCACCCTGTCCCCTCCGTGCTGGTGGCCGGGTCCCTGTCTGATGCCCGCGTGCCCTCCACTTCCAGTGGAGAACGAGAATCACTGCGACTTCGTGAAGCTCCGGGAGATGTTGATCCGGGTGAACATGGAGGACCTCCGCGAGCAGACACACAGTCGGCACTATGAGCTCTACCGGCGCTGCAAATTGGAGGAGATGGGCTTCCAGGACAGTGATGGTGACAGCCAGCCTTTCAGGTGACAGCCTGTCTCCCCAGCCACAACCAGACTTGCCATGCCAGCATCTGTTTCTAGGGGCTTGTGAGCCAGGAGGGGAGAGGCTGTTGGAACAGTAGCATCAACCCCTGACCCCCATGTGTCCACATGATTCCACCCCTCTGGCTCTGCCCAACCCCATCCCACCATGATCCCCTCCTTGGCCTCTTCTCTCTGGGTCTCCACAGCCTCCAGGAAACATACGAGGCCAAGAGGAAGGAGTTCCTGAGCGAGCTCCAGGGGAAGGAGGAAGAGATGAGGCAGATGTTTGTCAACAAAGTGAAGGAGACGGAGCTGGAACTGAAGGAGAAGGAGAGAGAGGTGCGTGCTGGGCTCGGGGTTGTGTGTGGCCAGGCCAGGCTGGGGAGGGCCTGGGCTCCCTTGGGGCCCACACAGAGCCGGCCTCCACACCTTCTGCTCCCAGCTCCACGAGAAATTCGAGCACCTCAAGCGGGTGCACCAGGAGGAGAAGCGCAAGGTGGAGGAGAAGCGCCGGGAACTGGAGGAGGAGACCAACGCCTTCAACCGCAGGAAGGCAGCAGTGGAGGCCCTGCAGACTCAGGCCCTGCACGCCACCTCGCAGCAGCCTCTGAGGAAGGACAAGGACAAGAAGAAGTAGGTGGTGGGCTCCCTGCCCCGCGCTGGCTCGCTCTCTCTCGCTCTTACTCATTCTTGCTGGCTCACCATTTGGCTGTCTCCTTTCACTCGCTCTCCCACCTCATTCTTGCTCACCTTTCTTCTTTCAGTGGTGATCGTCACATCTTCAGATATCAAGCGTTCATGCCCACTCTTGGGTTTGTGCACGAGTGGCTCCTCTCCCCACTCTTCTACCCCACACCCTGTTTTTTCTCTCTTTTTCTCTTTCTCCTGCAGCCCCCTCAAGAGCTGGGTGGAGAAGGCTGGGCCACACAGGCAGGGAGTGACCCCTGAGAGGATCCTAGGGTCTCAGGCAAGGTCCATCAGGCCAGGAGATGGTCAGGGCCTGGGAATGTCAGCATTTTCCAGACAGATTCCAAAAGCTCCTGTGGTTTCTGCTTAGACAGCCGTGGTGCCTCCCCCTCAGTCCTGAGGCTGTGGACGTGGTTTCCGTTTCGGCAGGTGGGTGGTGACTGAGGGCAGTGGAGACCTGAGCGCAGCCAGCACTGAGCCCCAGACACTGTGGTCACAGCCTGCTGAAGGAAGGACAGCAGCTCCCTGGAGGGGCTGTGTGAGTCCTGCTGAATCGAGGCGCTGCCCCTCAAGTAGAGGCTGGAGCTGTTCCTCAGCCTCAGAGTGTAGCCTCAGAGGGGAGAGAGCGATGGGGGAGAGGAGGAGGCTTTTCCCAGCCTCTGGGAGTGCAGTTAACTTTGGCAAGGTGGGGGCTGGTCTAAGTCTCTTCTCCTTGACATAGCCTGTTTCCATGCTCACAGCTGGATCCCAGATGCCCTGGCTCTGGGTGGGGGTGGGGGGTGCCTCCCTCCCCTGCCCCACTTCATTCAGTGTCCCCCAGGGCATCTCTCCATGGGGATCCTGTCTGCCCCTGCTTCTCCCTGCCCCTGGTCTGTATCCAGTACCTTCTTTCTCTTGCCAGCCTGGAAACTAAGCAGGTATACGCATCTTGGCCCTCACTCTTATTCTCTTGGAATTCCATTTCCTCCTTGAATGTTTGGGAATGTGTGTGTTCAGGCTGTTCCTTCCTTGGTGGCAGTGGAGCCTTGTGGTTAGGGCCAGGCAGTGCATAGCTAACTGTGGCCCTGGGGTGCTGCTTGTGGCGTTGGCCCTCCCCCTGCCCCCCAGTATTGCGTTCCCTAATGCTGCACACATGCAGGACACATGTACACTGTCTCACTCTCTCTTTTCCTGTGACATACACAGATCCAGGCATATCTCCACTAACACACACAGTCTCCGAGACACACAGGCACAGAGGTACAGACACATGGAAGTTTTAAAAGCTTCTCCCTGGGGAAGACCAGGGGGACAGAACCAGCCATTTAGGAACTGGATGCCAATTCTCGTTCCTGAGGCCCATCTTCTTCTTTGGGACAGACCCTGTAGTTTCCTCCATCCTGCTGACTGCATCCCCTCCTCCGCCCTGCCCCCAGCCGTTGGCCCTGCTGCAGCAGATAAGCCCCTGCTGGTCCCCAGCTCCACATGACCCTCAACCGTGTACATTTCCCTTCTGCTTTGCATTTGCTTCCGGCCCTGGTGCCTGTCTCGGTCTTAGTGAGCTTGGTGAACATGCAGGCTCTGTGAATTGCAACCCATGTGGATTTTGAGCTGGTAGCTCAGAAATCTGGTTTCTCCTGGGAAGCGGTGTGCTATCCATGACCCAGTGCTGGCTCCCAAAGAAACTTTGCCTTGCTCCCTGCCAGCTTAGCCCAGGCCATTTTGGTTTTTTATTTGTTTTTCTTAAAAAAAAAAAAAAAAAAAAAAAGGCAGGCAGAGTCCCCTAGGAAGTAAGCTATGGAGAAACCACTCAAAAGCAGCTCAAGGACCTGTGGCCAGGTCAAGGTGTTGAGGGCCAGTGGGGGTGGGGTGCAGGCTGGCTGCAGGGGCACCAGGCCAATTCAGGGTGGGGCTCATCACTGATGTCAGGCCTCCCTGCTTTTTTTCATGTGACGTGGGCCTGGAGAACAGGTCTTTTCTGTTTGCTGGACATTCCAGAAAGCTTCAGTCAGTTTGGCCTCTGGGAGAGAGCCCTCTCCTCGCATGCTGGCCTTGCGGAGGCCAGGAGTGGGGTGGGTGGGCTGGCTGGAAGCACCCCTTTACTCTGCCCTGGTTGGGATGGGTCAGGAGTACATTTGGAGGGGGGATGTTGTTTTGTGACCATTTAGTTGAATGGCTTTGATTGTACTTATTCTTCAAATTTTAATTCATTTTTACAAAATTACTTCCCAATCAGATCTTGACCCCTCAGCCTGGGATGCCATAAACTGAAGTGAATTTTCTGCTTTGCTCGTCACAAGTGCCAAACTGACTGTCCTTTCCCAGTGTTCATCTTGCTGTCTTTTGCTTCTTTTTGATTTGGTCGTCTGTGTATCTTTTAATGTGTCTGTTTTTGTTCTGTTTGTTTTATTTTTATTTTTCAGTTAACGCACGCACAGACTTACATGTCAAGAGCGGACTTTAGACTTTCATGTGTTAAGTTGCTTGAGTTACACCTTGTGACCCTTCTCCCATATCATGGTGTGAGGACGGACTGGGAGCCGGTACAGACTCCAGTGTTTACAGCCCTGCCTTGTCCCCCACCCCTGCCCCCTGGGCTGCCCAGGCCTGGCGGGCCACCCTCTCTATGCAAACTTGTTAAAGCCATGAATGCTGGAACCCAAAACTGATGAGGTTTATTTTTTTCAGAGCCAGTGGCTGGTCTTCCATTTACAGTGTCACTATTCCTTGACGGAGCAGTTTTGTGCCGCTCTAGCAGAGGCCCCAGCCGGCGATGCTCGGCCTAATTGTTCAGCGTCAAGATGGCAACTCATGCAGTGCCCTAGGTGTGGCCACGTGGTGTGGTATACATGCTGCAGAATTCCCCCCACTCCCCTTCATTTTAATTTTTCTAACCTAGAGCTTAATTTCAATAATAACTTTTAAAGCACTTCTAAATTTTTATTTTGGCACGAGCGTAAAGACAAATAATACCCCCTCCCGTTATTTTCGTAAGTAACACAGATTCCCTGATTTTTAAAAACTAAAAATATCTCTAAACCTTTCTTATGTATAAAGTATCCCTATAAAATATAGGGAGAGGTGGGTAATAAACGTCCTGTAATGACAAGAGTGCTCAGGGGGAACAGGTTTCTCTCTGGGTCATTCTTTCCTTTTTCCTGGCTGAGTTGCAGGGAAAGAGATGAAGGTGCCTGATGTATGTAAACAGTTAAGAAAAAAAAAACTACCAGCAGAGGAGCTTTTTCCCTTTCAGCTGCAATCTTAAAAGAGAACCTTCTAAGAAAGTAGAGCATTCTTCTATGTTCCTGTTGGTTGGCAAGCCACTGAAACTATCAAGGTTGAAAGTATGGCCTGATAATATGGGACATAAAAAATTAATAGATGAAAGGAAGGATTCCACTTAATGTTGATCAAGCACTGTGCTGGGCACAGGCTACCCAGAGTACTGCACAGCTCTGCCCTCAAGGAGCTCACAGTCTAGTGCACTCTAGTTGGAAGCCTTAGGAAGCTGTGCTAATACATTGTTGGATTGGCGGTTTGTGTTTTTATGTCCTTCATTTTCTTTCCCATTATCGTTTCCCTCTTCCTGCCTTGGCTTGCTTTACTGATTTCCAAGGCTAGGTTCTGGCTCCCTCCTGCCGTTCTCAGATCATGTTCCATTCAGAGAGGGGTGGAGGGTGAGCTGTATGTATCCACTGAGGTATGACCAGGAAAAGGTGGTCTTTTTCACTTCACCTGGAGCAGAGCAGGTTTTGTTGAGACTCAAAAGTGAAAATTCTCCAAAGCTATGCCATGACCACGGGTGGATACAGATTTTTGAGGGGCTCAAACGACTTGAGAAGCCTTCTTAAGAGAACATGAGTATAAAATCAGGTACAGGGCCTTGGAAGAGGCCCTGAGAATTAAGTTTTATTAGCTTTAGAGTAAACCCACTTGTGGTTGTAACTGGTAACTGATGCTTCAGTGTGGGTATCTAAAAAGGTAAATCAGCATATCTAAGGCAGATGTGGACTGCAAGTGACTTAACTCTAGGGTCATTATGTGTCTGAAAGTGTATTCAGTTGGATGGAAGTATGACCTTTAAGATAGCCTCTGTCAGCTAGTGTATTTCTGAAGATGAGGCTCAATGACCCAGCAGGTTCAGTTATGTAAGAAATGAGGACTCCTGGCCAATCTGGGGACTCTTGGAGTGGTCAGATCCTGCTGCCCATCTACCCCCACCTGCATATGGGCTGCACCCAGGGCATACTTGGGTGGCCAGAATTGTGGCTGGTTACCTGCCTGCAGGCCCCAGGCTTCCAAGAATCTCGGGGCAGACCTGTCCTTGTTACATTTTCTGGGGTCTGGGCTGCCTCCACAGGACCCTCTGACTTTAGTGAGCCTCACTGCACTTTTCTCTCATGCTGTTTGTATTTAGAATTTTGTCATTTTAGCTGAGACCAAATTAATCTTTGGTGCACAAGGTGAGCTTAAAAACTTACCACTCATTGTTTAACAAGCTACCCACCTCATGGAATGTGACCCCTGTCTGCAGAATCTGATTTTCCCCTCATTTTCTGTCTCCGTATCATCCATTGGCATTGTTAGGGCTGTCAGCAGCATCACTGGCATTTACTATCATGTCTTTCATGAACCAAGTTGATTTTGGGTAGGATCACCATATAATTTATTGCCCAAGCTGAGACTTTTGAGAGTGAAAGGAGATTTTGCCAAGTCGACGAGCATAAGCCATGATTGTCTCAGGCAAACTGGGAGATATGGTCACCCGAATTATGGGTAACCTGAGTCCAGGTGGTCTGTACTTGTGCAGACCGACTCCATACATGTTGTGTGTGTCTTTGTGTGGGTTCCCTGTTAAGTGGGGCTCCTGTTACTGGATAAGAGGCCCAAGGGAAGTGTGGCTTGCTAGTCTGTTACGTTAACATGCTTTTCTAAAACTGCTTCACTTGTTAATTCATTTATTCCTTCATTCATTGACTGTTTTTGTTCCTTTCCATTCACTTTGTACTCATTTTTTTCATTAAATTTTGCATTTATTTTGAGTTTTTGTGGTGTCTTTTTTGGGCAGTGGCTTTTCTGATTTAATGTTTCCTCTATTAATCTGCTACAGCTGTGGTAAAATACAGCTTGTTTTTCCCATGAACTTTGTGGGGTTGATCAGCTTCTATAGGAGTTATGTTTTAATAGTGAATCCTGCCATGGGCATCTGTGAAAGGCTCTTGAATGGGTGTGGGATGGAGGCAAGATAGGAAAGAGAAGTTGCAGCCTCTGGTCAAAGGATCTTTATCAGACAAGACACGAGAGAAGGCAGATCCTGCCCTTGAAAAGTTTACATCCTTGTGGAGGAGGCTTGTCATAGGATAACTAACATTTGAGTTCTTACTGTGTGCTAGTCATTGTTCTAAAGTGTATTTACATGTATTAATTCCTCTAATCTTCACAATAATCCTATGATTAGGTACCATTTTCTCCTTTTTTATAGGCAAGGCACAGAGAGGTTAAGTAATTACCCAAGGTCACACAGCTCATAACTGGAGCAATTGAGGTTTAAGTATTGCTATCCTGTAGCCTTATCCCTGTGCAGTTTGACAGTGTAGGTTGGTGGACCTAAGGTTTTGCTGAGGTGGGATGCTGTAGTAAGTAGGCAAATATCTGGTTGAAGAAGGGATGGCAATCTCCAGGGCCCATTTGTCGAGGAGCTTTCTCTGTTGGACACTAGGCTAATCTCCGGGAAGACCAAAATGAGGAGATGGAGGACTAAGCCCAGCAGGGAGACTGGCATGCTGGCCTCCCCAGTGAAGGTACAGCACCACTCTGCTCCTGGGCAGGCAGGTGCAGGGAGGCAGAGTCTTCACCAAGCTTTGAAGGATGAAGACTTTCCAGGAAGCCAGGGGAAATAGGGCTACCTTGGTGGAAGGAACTTGGCTCACCCAAATGAGGAGGTAATATTTGGACAAGTTTAAGATGTGTCTGCGATACTCATATACTGTGTTCTTCTCTTAGCCCATCCACCTCTGAGCCCTGTCCCATCTCTGTTTTCAGCAGTCACAGCCCTTTACCAATCTCTATGTAAATGGTGACAAATGGGAGATGGCTCATGTCCTTATTTCTCCCTCCATAGTGAACCCCAGTCTCTAATCTGAAGTGGGACAGAAATTCCTAACTGCAGGGAAAAAAATGTTAGAGGAGAGTAAGATAGAACTTAGGGCTCCAAGGCAAGCTTGAACAACATAAAAACTTAAAAACAAACAACAAAATCCCCTCACAAGTGGTACTTTGGCAATACGAAAGTTTGCTTCCCCAGAGAAGGGAATACTATTTACACAAAGCTGAAGCAACAAGGCTGTCCCTTACCCCATACTGTGGCTCACAGGTCTATCTTCTTCTTTTCCCAAGAGATGGAGAGTTGGTTTAGCTCTGGGGAATGAAGCTTACATCCAGAGCTACTTGGTTTGGGGTGGAGGGTGGGGTGTCCAGGTAATTCTTACCTGTTTTCTGAGGTCAGAGACAGCCTGAGTTGGCGTGGGCCCTCAGGATTAGCCTCTGTTCCGCCAATGACAGTGCTGCTCACAGTGGAAGGAAGGAGGCAGGGGAAGCTGAGGCCCTGAGCAGCAGGCTGCCCCCCAGCACGTTCATTTGTGCTGGACTAGAGGACAGTTACTGATAGGGTTTGAGAGATTGCATTTCACGTGTGTTTGACTCTATCAAATTTCAATGCATGGTACCTAATACATGTAAAATAAGACACAGAAAGGATTGAAAGGAAGTCAAGTGTATTTGAAAAAAAGCTCCAACAAGCAAATCTGTCTTAACCAGAGGCAGAGATTTGTGCTGACTACACTGCAGACACTAATACGGTATAGCTAGTATTGCACCTAGTAGCAGATCACCCTCCCCGTGGCTTAGCACATTTACAGAAAACTGTTCACTGTGGAAGGACTTCACAGATGAGCTCTAAATGTGCGGCCCAGCCATTCACATCCCCAGGACTACTTCCACAGTCCCAGCTGGACTCCACTGCCTAGAGAGTGGCTCATAGTGTCACCGCTCCCCAGGGGCAGCTGGCTTCTCCCTCGCAGCCATGGTCTCTCCCTCCTCCCTGCAGTAGTGGGAGCTTAGCCTCAGGACCTGCTCATCTCAACCAAAACTCGGGGAGCTGTGCCTTCCCAACACAAGGACCACCTCGAAGCGTCGTGTTTTAAACACAAAAATTCCCCTAGTTAAGCCTGTAAACTAAGAGTAACCAAGCAGAAACATACCTAAAGCTTGATCTGGTTACTGTATATGAGAGAAAGCACACTTTATGAATTGCGTTCTTACAAAGAAAAGACTTAGATGCTGGGCAAGTCAGGGTAAATCCCATTTCTGCAAAGGCGAGCCGAGCACTTGGGACTTGAAGCCTGCACATGCTCTTGGTACAGGCCTGGGAAGCTGAAAAGACCCGGCCAGTTCTGGCAGGTGGAGCAGCAGAAACTTGTCTGTCAGCACCAGCCTGGCCCTTCTGCCCTGAGCAAGGCCTGCCTCTGACCTCAGTCCAGCTGCCTTACAGGCTGACACAGCCCTTGATGAGGAAGAAAAAGCAAGCTGCACTAGGAGCATTTATTCCCTCTCCCTGGTTTCAGGCCCAGGGTCATGAGGGAGGCAGGAGTCTGAGTTTGATTTATCAGACTTCCTTTCCCTTTAGGGACCCTGACCTGTCTTTTTGCCCCCCCCCCCCCTTTTTTTCCCCTTGAAGAATCAGGAGTGCTTTCTCAGTTGCTCTTTCAAGGCCTTCTTGCTTTCTTGTTGCAGGATCCCTAGAGCCTAGAATATAGAGGAGTCGAAGTCCAGCTTTGCCATTATGCTATAAAGGGCTCTGGGGTAGGGCACAGATGCTAGCAGTGAGCCAGAAAGTGTCTGTCCAGGAGGATGACTAAAGGCTTGCCAGTTGCTCCTTTACAAATTCTTTGCAGCGGTTCCACTGCCTTATACCAACCTGTAATTAAAACAGAGTGGTCATCCTTGAGGTAGAACCATTTTACATTCTAAACAATGAGCAACCGAGTGCCAGAATGTTAGCATGGAGCAATTCCAGGAAGTTCCAACCACCCAACTTGAGACCATTAACCCCACCATCTCAGGGACACCCATCTTCAACCTCAGTAAAAACTCATTTTTCTAACTGCATTCCATCTTATGCTGTCCATCCTGAGTGGTTCTGACCTCCCAGCACCTACTTCATAGTACCTTGGTGCCTGTAAAGGGTAAAGGGTCTGAAATTCATACTCCCCAGTGTTAAGCTCAGTGTTGTTTTCTCCTGAGCGCAACATGTCCCCACATCCTCTTGACTACCAGGGCTGCCACTGAGATGCAGCTTCGCTCATTGTCAGAGAAGCCCACTGTGGTGAAGGGAACGTGTACCTAATACTCGAGTCCAGAGGATAGGTCGTGTGTGGAAAGCCTAGCCCTTAGGAGTCTTCAGAGTCGTCACAGCCAGAGTATCTCCTGGAGCCCACAGGGCCGAGAAGGGGCCATAGGTACCCTTTCGGGGGCAGAGTGCATCAGCTGAAGGGGCAAAACTGAGAGGCTGGTGTGGGGCAGAGTTGATGTCTACCTGTGCTTTCTTTAGCAGATCAGATATAGGAGTACAGCAGTCGGGCATGAGCCTCTCCAGCTCTAAGGTGATGATGACCAAGGCCAGTGTGGAGCCCTTGAACTGCAGCAGCTGGTGGCCCGCCATACAGTGCTGCAGCTGCCTGGTCAGGGACGCGACGTGGAGGGAAGGATTCCTCTGAGGCATCAGCTCCTTCACGTGGGGCCAGCCCAGGACCACCAGGGCGTGGAACTGGAGACCGTGGTTTTTATGTTAGAACAGAAAACCCCATACTTTTCATAGATCAATGACCAAAAGTGCAAAAAAACAGCTTAAATTTTCATCAGGGAACATTAAATGTTGCCCAACCCTTTTCGTTCCCATCTATGGCCCCAGAAGGGGGTTGAGGCTTAATACCCACTGTGCGGCCAAACTAAGCTTCAACCCTGGTGAGAAAAAGACAGTCTGCTTTGTGACATAGTCGTTAAGAACCTAAAGTACCCACTTGACAGTGTTTCACTTCTGAAAAACAGAAGCAGACAGTTCAAGATTAAGGTAGCAGAGAAGTTACTTATATGTGCTCGACATGAGAAGAAACGCTACCTGGCCACAATGGTCAGTTTTTATAATGGTACAGCCCTTCATGATTTAATCGTCACACTTCATAACAGACCAAAACCCCATGACATTTCCATATTACATAATTTTGCCTTACTAACAGAATCCTATCCTTAAGGATGACCATCATTCTCTAACTAAAACCAATACAAACTAACATGACATTTTTAAGTGCCAGATCAATATGGTCTAAAGCCTCAGTAAGGATTGTGTGTAGGTGAATAAAGACAGCTAAGTGAATGTGTGTAAAGTGCAGCAAAAGCAGACAGATTTTTATGTATTCATAGAATGGAAAGTTAAATATTTTTGCAGTGTGTATTTAAAAGAGAAGCTCACCATAATAGTGCCGTCTAAATATCTTTGTAAAGTTAATGTCCTTTAGAAGCGGGAGTCTGGCGGAACCGTGTTGGATGTAAGATAATATTTTAACTCTGCCGTTATGTCGTGAGCCTTGTGGGTCACGTCACTGTGCTGCATGTGTAAGGACGTGTGCTTTGCCGTCCTATATTGTGAACAGCTGTTCCAAAGGCACAATGAGTCCAGGGTAGGCTCTGGAAGTTCCTCGTACTTACTGTGGACAGAAAGTCCAGCGGTGTCCCAATGTAGAGGTCCCAGTGCAGTTTGTCCAAAATAGCCAGCTCCATCCTGAGGAGCTCATTCGGGGAATAGCCAGAGCCATAATGCTTTATGAAGTCTTTAACGTGTGGAATTAACTGTAAAAAGAAAATAAAAGAGGCCAAAGCCCTACACTATGTCATAGTAGCTTTTGTTTTCTTGTCACTGGGGACTGGGCATCCATGACCCTAGTAGGGTTGTCTTCCAGTGACCCACCACAGAAAACGCTTCTGAAAGAAAAACCAAACCAGATCTTGGCTATCTGTCAAGTCCCCAGGTAGTTGTGACAGTGTATAGTAAATGTCACGTGGTCATCTGCTGCCAACAGGTCTTGATCCCCAATGCACTCCAGCTCCTACCCAAAGGTGCTTTGGAGGCTGGGACTGTGCCGTCTCCCACATTCAGCTGCAAGAACTCACTCAAAGCTTTCCAGCTATGGACTCTACCCATTCCTGGTTCCAATCACTACCATGATTGTTAGTCAGAGAGAGAAGCAGGCCTTTGAGCTTCATAGTCTGCATCAGACAGACTCACTGATAAAACCTCCCAGAACCAGGTAACACCACAGCTGCAAACACATTCCTTTCAGCCTTTATTGAAGGCAGTTCAGTTCTGGAAAAACTATGACTTTTTCCCAGAGAAATTATAAGGCTTGTCTATGAGTAAACATTCAAGTACCAAGTGCATTGAAGACTTGGTCCTACTCTTTTAGATGAACAAAGTATTATATAACTTTTAGGAGTAGTTCTTTTAAAGGTTATTTACGTGGTTCTTAGTTGAACAAAAGCATTTTTGCAGGACACACATTACATTCTAACAAACAGGGTTAAAATAGTTTTTATTGCAAGTTTGGAACTGGACACACCATGCCTTTTTCTGGCCCCTTGGACCCTGAGATCAGCCAAGGGGACCTTGTATAAATGGCAGTGGTTCCACAAAGGGGGAGAGGTTGGAAGGAGGGAAGGAGGGAGGGAGGGAAGAAGGAAGGGAGGGAGGTTTGGGAAGGATACTGGGAGAGGATCTTCTCCTGAATAGAAGCCATAGCGAAACTGAGAAATTCAAGCAAGCTGAAGCAATTACTGGGGCTTTTCTTCCACTCACTGCTTGTGGCCCTCGTGGCCCTCCTGCCCCTCCCAGACGAGGGTCCCAGACTCCCTGAAGACCAGTTTCTTTGACACAGGCAAGTCCTCAAGTCTCAAGCAGCTTTCTTAGATGTAGTTTCTGGGGGGTGGCTATTACGCCATATGGTCTGGGAGGCCACTTTCCTCTGCTTAGTGGGAGGTGGCATCTACCATCAACCAATGAGGCAAGATATATCTGCCAGGAGGTCAGGCTTCTGGCTTTGGTGGGCCAGGACAATTCAGCTGTTCTGTCTTCCCATTTGTGGGGTACCAGAATTCCCATGGCCCAGATCAGTAAAGAATCCTTCAGGAGGCCTAGGTTTGATCCCTGGGTTGGAAAGATCTCCTGGAGAAGGAAATGGCAGTCCACTCCAGTATCCTTGCCTAGGAAATTCCACAAAGGAGTGTGGCAGGCTATAGTCCATGGGGTCGCAAGAGGGACTCAGCGACTAAACCACCACCACCGGCGTCTGACAAGCCTGAGGAAGGGACAGCAGAGATCCTGGGAGGTGTGACTTTTCCAAAATGTCCGTTCCCAAGATCACAGACCTTTCCTGAAACTTGTGTTTCCAATGTTATACACCCTATACCTCAAAAGCAGCCATTAATGAGCTTCCAGGGATGCATACCTCCTCTTCTTCATTAGCTTTTGTAGCAAGCCTCAAGGAAGTAATTGTAACACAATGGAGTAAATGCTTTTTTATCTGCAGTATGGAAGAGACACATTTGAGAATATGAGTGCCAGAGACTAACCATAAAGCATCTGTGGTTTTTTTTTTTTTAAGAAATCGTGTTTTTTTTTTTTTTAATTTTTAAAAAGGACATTGTATTTATTCGCAAGGAGTTTAGCCCATTTTAAAATGTGACCAGTGAAAACCTCCTGGTTTCAGAACCACAGATGACTAGTCAATAGCCCTTTGTTAGAAGACTGACTGGAGGTGGGAAATACAGCATCATCTCAGGGAACACACAGGCTCCTCCTGGCCTCAGGCTGCGAGTACTGGTCCAGACAAGCACAGCTGACCTCATAGCACATGAGAGTCCTTTCCCAGCTAGGTCCTCTCATGCTCCCCAAGTCGACCACTGATGGCCACACAACACTGAGCCAGACAGGTAAGGTGGTAGGATTTTCCAATTCCAGTTCTATTCTGGGAGTCACTGACTTAATTTATAATGTTGGGTTTGAGCACCTGGGGTGGCTCCTTTGTCAGGTAGCAACAGGAAACAAAGGTTAGTTTCCACACCCAACCATCTGTCACCATCCTCAACTCCCTTACCTTTACTGAAACAAGGAGGCGGCTGAAGATAGTGAGAGCCAGGCTAAAAGTGTTCTGAGAGAAGTCAAAGATGTTCTCCACTCTCAGGAGCCACAACACAACTTCTCTGAAGGCTTCGCAAATCTCCGCCTGCTGGAAGGAGGAGGTGGGGGAGAGCAGGGAAGGTCGTTGGTCTCAGCCCATCAGTGGCTGGACCAGAGGTGTTGTAAGAAGCCCCTTCACCCTAAAGAGCGGTCACATAAAAGTGTCTCTCTTGTCTAGATGTTCCCCCATTCAGACCCTCTCCTTCCTGCGCCCGTTTTTTGGGTCTTCAGCTGAATTCCCCAACTCAAACAAGCCCTCTTCCAAAGCCCTCTAGTGAAGCACCGTTTCAGTGAGAGAAGCTGAGGGGGACGCACCCGGGGAAGGTGCAGGCTCCAGGGAGCGGCTCACCTGGTCGCGGGTGCACGTGGAGCCCGGCCTCGTCCCGTGCGCGCGTGGGGGAGGGGGATGACCGTGCTTCCGGGAGGGCCCCGCGAGGGTACCCGTACCTGGAGTTGGCCACCCCGCCACAGACGCGCCTCGCGGCCCTGGGCCTGCGTCAGGTAGGCGAGCAGCCAGTGCTGGTCCGGGAAGTCTCCCCAGGTATTCTGCATGAGCCTGGGCGGGCTGGGGACTGGGGGCTGCGTAGATGGTGCGGGCGGCAGCCCCCCAGCTGCGGCGGGGTCGGGGCCTGCAGCTGGCCGAGCCCGCATTCCCGCCCGCACGGATCTGGTCCACGAAGGCGCGGGGAGCCGGAGCGCATCGCGCAGGCACGCCTCCGAGAAACTTTTCCGGATCGCGGCGGGGAGAGAGACGTTCCACGGCCGCGGGGGGAGCGGACAGCGAAGGGCCATTTCGCCTAGACTTTCGTCCGAACTCTTACCTGGACGCCGGGAGGATCTCACCTCCGAGGCCGAGTTCTGCGGCGCATGCCGCCCTCCGGAAGCCATGGCTGCGTCAGATCCTGGGTCTGGGTCCCGGCTAGGCTCGGCGTTTTCTACCCCAGCGTCAGTGACTTGCAGCTGGGGAGGCCACGAGGCGGGGCGGGGAGGGGCGGGGCGGGCTCAGCTGGCCCACCCCCAACCCCTGGCCCTGGGACTGTCCTGGCGCGCGGGGGCCCGCTCTTCCAGCCCTTGGTTCCCGAGGTGAGGGGCGCGGGCCTGGGACGCGGCGGAAGGGAGAGCGCGCAGGTGGGTGCAGGATCCTCTGTATTCTTACTCCACCCCGCGCCCACCCACTGAGCCCCTTTTCCGCACCTAAAGCCCTAGCCCCAGGGGCAGAGTCCCCAGCCCGGCTGGTGAGCAAGCCGCCCTGGAGAAGGTTATCTATTGAAGGCTGCAATGTGTTACGCGCTGGAACATTAACAGTGAATAGAAGAGACGTGGAACTTATATTCTAGTCAGGAAAGAGGAAAGCTTGAGTAGAACATATGAAAATCCCAGCAATTCCACTCCTAGATATCCAACAGAAATGCATATGTGAACCTACATGTTCACAGAAGCACTATTTGTAGTAGTCCTAAACCGGATACAAACCAAATGTCCATCAATAGTTGAATGGGATAAACAAATTGTGGTATAGTCACACGATATAGGGGATACTATACCACATTGAAAAAGAATGAACTGCTGCACCCAATAAGGAAGAATCTTACAAACATAATATTGAATGTCAGAAGACAGATAAAAAAGAATTCATACTGTATGATTTCACTTATAAAAAGCATAAAGAAGGGATCTATAATGTTAGAGTCAAGATAGTGGTTACCCTTGGGGGATATGTGTGTATGCTACAGAAAACTACAGAACATTACTGGAAGAAATTAAAGAAAATCTAAATAAATGGAGAGACATTCCATGTTTATGAACTGAAAGATTTAAATTATTAAAATACCAATAGTTCCAGAACTGTCTATCAATTCAACATAATCCCTGTTAAGTTTCTAGCTGTCTTTTTGATTCCTATAGCATATCATATACAAAAATAACTGAAAATAGATCATAGATCTAAACTAACAAGGTGTTTTAAAAATTCCTATGAACAACCAAGGAATTCACAATGATCAAAACTACCTTGAAAAAGCAGATAGATAGGCTTTGTAGTATCTAATTTCAAAACTTACTACAAGCCTATGGTAATCAAGACAATATAGTATTGGATGGACATATAGATCCATGGAATTGAATTGAGAATCTGGAAATCAACCCTCATATTTATGACCAATTGTTATTTGCCCAGGTTGCTACAATAATTCAATGGGGGAAAGAAGATTCTTTTTAGCAAATGGTGATAGGACAGATGAATATTCACAAGCAGAAGAATGAAACTAGATTCCAATAACATATCATATACAAAAACAACTCAAAATAGATCATAGATCTAAGGGTAAGAGCTAAAACTAGAAAACTGTTTAAAAGGAAAATCTTCATGTCTTGAGTTAGCAAGTGGTTTCTTAGATTTGCACCAAATGTACAAGAAAATAAACAACAAAAGAAAATTTTGGACTTGATCAAAATTTAAAACTTCGGTGCTTCAAAGAGCAGCATCCAGTAATTCAAAAGACAACACACATAATAGGAGAAAGCACATGTATATCATATATCTGAAAAGAGAATTGTATTTAGAATATTTAAAGAATTCTTACAATTTAATAATGAAAAGGGCAAATAATTGATTAGACATGTCTCTGAAGGAGATATTCAGATGGTCAAAACATGTGAAATCATGTTCAACATTACTAATCATCAAGGAAGTACAAATAGAAGCTACAATGTGATGTTATTTTACATCAGCAGGATGGCCATAATAAGCAACTCAAGACAACTGCAGGTGGTGGCAAGGATATAGAGAAAATTATAAACCTCATACACTGCTGGTGGGAATGGAAATCCTCTTACATTGCTGGTGGTGTAGCCACTTTGGAAAACAACTTGATAGTTCCTCAAAATGTTAAACATTAGAGTTACTAAATGATCCATCAATTCCACTTGTAGTATATACCCAAGAGAAATGAAACATGTTCACAAAAACTTATAGCAGCATTATCCATAGTACCAAAAAGTAGAGGCAACCCAAATGTTCATCAATTGATAAATAGATAAAAATGTGGTATATTTATACAATAGAACATTATTCAGCCATAAAAAGTAAAGGATTATTGTTATGTGTTACAATAGGGATGATTTGGCTCAGAGGGTAAAGTGTCTGCCTGCAATGCAGGAGACCTGGGTTCAATTCCTGGGTTGGGAAGATTCCCTGGAGAAGGAAATGGCAACCCACTCCAGTACTCTTGCCTAGAAAATCCCATGGAAGGAGAAGCCTGGTAGGCTTCAGTCCATAGGGTCACAAAGAGTCAGACATGACTGAGTGACTTCACTTGAAAATATTATTCTACGTGATAGATATAATTTCACAAAAGGTTACATATTATATAATTCCATTTATATGATAAGTCTGTAGGCAAATCTGTAGATACAGAAAGTAGATTAGTGGTTGCCTAGGGCTGGGATGTTGCAAGGGGGAAGGGGGAGTGATAGCTATAAGTGTTTCTTTTGAGTGTGATGAAAATGTTTAAAATTGATTGTGGTTATGGTCACACAACTCTGTATATAGTAAGAATCATTGAATTGTATAAATTGGTGAATCTCAATGAAGCAGATATATATTATATCTATCATGTATCAGAGAGTGATAAGTACTATGGAGAAATGTAAAGTAGGGAGAGAAGATAACAATGCTGGGACTGAAGATTGGAATTTTGTTTTCTTTTTTAGTTTTTGGCTGTACCGTGTGGCAAGTGGGATCTTAGTTCCCTGACCAGGGATGGAACCTGCATCCCCTGCATTGGACAGTGGAGTCCTAACCACTGGACTACAGGGAAAATCTCTGAAGGTTGGCATTTTAAGTAGAGAGATCATTGGTAGGGTTCACTAAGGAGGTGATATATGAACAAAGATATTCTGAAGGCAATGAGGGAGTCAGGCAATATTTAGTGAGGAGCTTTCTAGGCAGGGCCTGGCTTTGGATCTGAGCTTTGTCGCTGCTGATATGTATGACCTTGGACAAGTTACTTAATGGCCCATGCTTCAGTTTTTTAAATCTGTGAAATAGTTCCTCCTATTTTCTATTAAAATGACTAATGGTACCTATTTCAAAAGGTTATTATATGAACTAAATTAATAATTAAAAAGGAATTAAAGCACTTAGAACAGTATGCTGACACTAAGTATTTTTATTAGCTCCTACTGCAAGCATAAAAGGCCTTGTATTCTATCATGAAACCATGCCTGCAAGGTCATGCCTGCAATGAATCAAGGAGGCCAAGTGGAGCTGGTGCGAGAGGGATAGCTTGCAATAATGAGTAAGAGGGAAGACTGCAGGAAACAGGGAGAGGGCCTGTGACTTTTATGCTGGGAGATGAGAAATCACTGGCAGGTTATGAATGAAGGCAGTGTTGTTTTAGTTGCTAAGCCGTGTCAGACTTTTTGCAACCCAATGCACTGTAGCTGCCAGGCCTTTCTATCCATAGAATTTCCCAGGCAAGAGTAGGTTGCCATTTCCTTCTCCAGGGGATCTTACCTCCATCTCCTGTATTGGAAGGCTGATTCTTTACCCTTGAGCCACCAACAGTATCTGACTCATTTTAACACCAGCACTCTGCGTCTTATGTTGAAAGTAGACTAGATGGGCAAGGATGCACTTCAAGGAAACCAGTTCTGAGCTGTTTACTAATGCAGGCGAGAGATGGTGGTGCTCAAAGTGGTTAGATTCTGGTTCTACTTTTGAGATAGAGACGACTAATTCTAGTTCTATAGAAAGATTGGATATTAAGTATGAGAGAGAAAGACTGTGGTTTTAACCTGATTAATTGTCAGAATCCAGCTTACATTATTGTGATGGATTTTTAAAATTGTTTATTTTATATTTAACAGGTGTGGCATAGGTACTAGTAGGCGATAGGAAGTGGGAATCAACGTTTCAATTTTGGACATGATAAACCTGAACTGTCTATTGCACGTCCAAGCAGAGCGGTGTTCAGGGGAGAGGTTCGGACAGGAAAGAGGAGAGATCATTCTTTCTTTCACAAATATTTATTGAAAACCCACCTTGTGCCAGCTTCTATTCTAGGCTCTGGAGGTAATTGTGAGAATGCTGACAAAGTTCCTCAGCTAATGGTGAGACAGGTCATAATCAAGTTGGCAATCAAGCACAATAACGTATGTAAAGTGGCTCTTCTGAGGAAACACAATGTACAACTGCTATTGTTGTTTATAATATTTAGAACATAGCAAGCGCTAGAAGATGGGAGGCGTTGCCAGTCTACGACTGCCTCTTCCCCTTCGGTAGTAGCCAGATATCCCACCTGCAAATCCGGCCAGATATCCAGAGGCAGCGGAATGGCAGCATTGCGCAAGCGCAGCCTCAGTCTGGCTTCCTAGGAGACGGACTCGGAAAGTTCTGGCGCAGGCGTAATACAAGAGGCGGAGGAAGCCTGGAGCCCGGGGATGGGGCGGGGCGAGCTCCGAGTGCGCCTGCGCACAGCGCGCTCTCGCCAGAGGAGCCGCAGTCTTGGGTGCGCCAAGGTGGTGTTTCAGTAGCCCTCTGACCCGCCTCTCCCGTGAACCCTGCGTCGTTGGACTGCACCCCGGGCGGGGACGTCCGCGGGGCACGGGAGGAAGCCGCAATGCCGGTAAGGAGAGTCACTCAGCCGCTGGGGTTCCTGCTCATCTCTGAGGCCTGGCCGGGTGGCGCGGCCGTTACCATGGAGGCGCGGAGCGGGCGGGCGGCCCGGGTGGGGTGGGGCGGGGCCGGGCCGGCCGAGCGGTGTGGGAGCCTGGCGGCTGGGCCCGGGCATGTGGGGGTCCACCCGACCCTGGGAGGGGCCCGGAGCAGGCTTTGCCACCTTGGTCGCTGCTGCATCCCGAAAGGCCTGGGGTGCTTGACATACAGGCGCTGTGCCAGAGGATGCGCTCTCGCTCCCAGCCCTGTTCTCTGGGCAGGGCGTCTAGGAGCGGCCGCGGAGGGTTGGCTCTCGGATGCCGGTGGGTCTCTGAGTCGCGGAGCCAAGCTCTGGAAGGTGGCAGAGCAGGGCTTGCCTGCCCCTGCTCCAGGCTCCTGACTCGAGCTGTCATTTCCCCCCTGGCGTTCTAGCTTACAGTGCAGAATGTGATCCGTGGGTGTCTTTGTGTGTGAGGGGGGCGAGTGGTGGGTGATGGTATGCTTGTCTTGTAGGATTTCAGAAATTATTATCGTGTAACTTAATAAGGGGGCGTCGTAAGTCCAGTGCAGAGTCATGGGGAACGTTTCAACTGTGGCCGGTTATTTACGTGAGGGGGTGAGTGGTGGGTGGTCCTATGTTCGTCTTGTAGGATTTCACAGATTATTATCGTTCACTTAATAAGCAGGCGTCGTAAGTCCGTTATAGGGTCATGGAGAACACCTGAGCAGTGGCCGGTTGCGAGGCCCTGGGTGATTTATCTTTCTGGGTTCTTCTTTCCTGCATAATTAAATTTTTCCTCATGGGGGTATCAGGATGAAATAAGATAATGCGCAGGAGGCTTGAAGGACAGTGCTTGACTTTTAGCATTAAATGCTTAGTATTTGTTCCTTGTTGCTTTCTATTTAATTATCAATTTATTCAGCAATTTATTACTGGGCACCAGCCACACTGGTGGCTCAGTGGTAAAGAATCCCCCTGGTAATGCAGGAGAAGCTGGTTTGGTCCCTGGTTGGGGAGATTCCCCTACAGAAGGAAATGACAACTCACCCCAGTATTCTTGTCTGGAAAATCCCATGGACAGAGGACTCTGGCGGGCTACAGTCCATGGGGACACCAGTTAGCTACTAAACAACAACAACTACATGCTAGGCACTGGAGGTACAATATTGAGCAAAACCAGCCAGGTTCTTGAACTTGGGAAGAGAAAAGCTTGCTGTGTAGGGCAGAGGTGAAAACCACACATATTTACAGTGATAGAATACTTAGCTAAGTGAAGTGGATAGGTGGCATACAATAGATAGAAGTAGACTCTGGTGAATTGTTTAAATGTTGCCATGTAGGAATGCTGGCTTACAAATGTCAGATATGTATTTTTTTCAGAGAGTCTAGAGATTTTTATTTTAATGAAATTTCTAAGTTTTAAATTTTAACAACTAACTTAAAAGATTTTTAGATAATAGGAGCCAAACAAAAGACTTTCGTGGGCTGAATTTAGTCCCTTGACTGAGTACCTGTTTGGAACTTCTCATTTTAGATACAGACATGGACTTTAATAAAATAAGAAGCCCCCCCCCAAAAAAAAAAATTGTAACCAATGCAGAAGAAAGAATGGTGCTATCAGGACCTATATTAGGTCAATTCTAGTCAGGGAAGTCTTCCCAGGCGAAGGAGCTATTGAGCTGATCTCTACAAGGTAATTGAAGAGGGTGGAGTATGTTTTAGGCATAAGAAGCAGCACCTGGAAAGGAGTGTTGTGAGAGAAAGCATGAAGACAAGAAAAGGCCTAAAAGAAAGCCTGTGTGGCTGTGACTAAGAAAGTCAAGCAGAGTAACTTGTGAGATAAAGCTGGAGAAGTGGACATGGGCCAGAACCAGATCTTACAGACCACTGTAAGGATTTTTGACTTTTATCCTAAAATCTGTGGGAAACTATTGCAGAGAGTTCTGAGTAGGGGAGTGACATAATTAGATTTGTGTTGAAACCGACTGCCACGTAGAGAACAGACCATAGGGGAACCTAATTAGATGCAATAGTACAGTTGTAGGTGGTGGTGTTTAGTTGCTAAGTCATGTCCAACTCCTTGCCACCCAATGGACTGGAGCCTCCCAGGCTCCTCTTGACCTTGGGATTTCCCAGGCAGGAGTATTGGAGTGGGTTGTCATTTTCTTCTCCAGGGGAAGTTCCCAACCCAGGGATTGAACCTGAGACTCCTGAATTGCCAGGCAGATTGTTTATCGCTGAGCCCTGTTTATTGCCAGGGAAGCCCAGTAGTACAGTTAGGAGTCTCTTATAATTCGGGACAAGATAATAACCTGGAATAAGGTGGTGAAAGTAGAGATGGAAAGAAGTGTGTTGAATTGATATCATCTATTCCTTGTGAATGACAGTGGCTCATGTTTGTTTCTCTGATGCTTAGAAGAGTATCTGAAAGAGTAGGAATTTAATATCTGTTCAACTAAACTGTTAAACTGGATAATAATTGGATTGAATTTTAATATAGATGCTTAATCATAGAATTTCAGAGTTTGAGACTTTACGTATACAAATGTTCATAAGGGTAGAGTCATTTAAAAATTTTTTCCAAAACATTTTTTCTCTGCCATTAGGCTTTTTTTTTTTTTCTGTCTTTCACTAATATAGAAAAAAGTAGACCTTATGTGGATATATTATTTGATTAATTTCTTTTTTTTTTCTAATGCATTGTAGAAAAGAAAATTGAAAGTCTCAGAGGGCACAGAGGACCTATTACTGGATTCTTGATTAACATTATTAACTACATTCACATTTGTTTTTCTATAGGCAGGAAACTCAGAGGAAGTCAGGGACTTTGTGCAGAAAGACAGGTCTCTTATAGATTCTGATTTTTCTGCCTGAATAGCATTAACTATAAATGTAAATTAAGTTACCTCTTCCATTATTTGTATTATAAAAGAAACTATTTTTATACCTTTTAATAAGTTTTTCTATATATCTGTAAGGTCTTTAATTACATTTAACAAGTAATTATGGAGTGTTTAACGTGTGCAAGGCACTGAGGTGGCAAAGTAAAGGTTTTGAATTTAATCTGTTGAAGGTAAAAGTAAATGTTCTTTTCATTATTTGTAAATATTTTCTCCACCAGATCAATAAATCAGAGAAGCCGGAAAGCTGCGATAATGTGAAGGTGGTGGTTAGGTGCCGGCCCCTCAATGAGAGAGAGAAATCAATGTGCTACAGACAGGCTGTCAGTGTGGATGAGATGAGGGGAACGATCACTGTGCACAAGACTGACTCTTCCAATGAACCTCCGAAGACATTTACTTTTGATACTGTTTTTGGACCAGAGAGTAAACAACTAGATGTTTATAACTTAACTGCCAGACCTATTATTGATTCTGTTCTCGAAGGCTACAATGGTGAGTACTTTAGTTTACTTTTAAACAACTTTTTATCAAGTTATTAATAATACCCAGTGAATTCACCCACTGTAATTGTATAATTGAATTGTACAGTTTGAGTTGTAGCAAATACATACAGTTGTGAAACCATCAGTTTTATCATCCCCATAAGTTCTTCTGTGTCTGTTTGCAGTCCTACCCCCAGCAACCATGGACCTGCTTTCTGTCTAGTTTTGCCTTTCTTTAGAATTTTGTATAAATCAGATTATACACTATTTTGCCTTTATCTGTTTTCTTTGAGTTGTTCAGTTGTGTTCGACTCTTTGCCACCTTGTGGACTGCAGCATGCCAGACTTCCGTGTCCTTCACTGTCTCATCGAGTATGCTCAAATTCATGTCCATTGAGTTGGTGATATCATCCAACCATTGTGACTCAGACAGTGAAGAATCTGCCTGCAGTGCAGGAGACACGGGTTTGATCCCTGGGTTGGGAAGATTCTTTGGAAAAGAATTCTCCTGTATTCTTACCTGGAGAATTTCGTGGACTGAGGAGCCTGGTGGGCTACAGTACATGGGTCTGAAAGAGTCAGACATTAGTGAGCGACTAACACTTTTTTTGATTTAGTGTAATATTTTTGAGGGTCATCCGTGTTGTAGCATATATCAGTAGTTCCTTTTTTTTTTTTTAGTAGTTCCTTTTTATTGTTAAGTTTTATTCTATTATATGAAAATACCACCTTTTATGATCTTTGGGGATTTGAATGATTCTAGTTTTTTGGCTACTAAAAATGATGCTGTTAGGAACATTGTTTTGTTAAGTCTTTCTGCAGATAAGTTTCAAAATTTGTCTTGGATAGATACCTAGGAGCAAAATTGCTGTATCTTGTGGTTTATGTAGTTTATCTTTTGAAGAAACTGCAAAACAGTTTTTCACAGTGTTGACTGTATTTCTTTTTTCCCAACAGCATGGTATGAGAGTTCTAGTTTCTTTATGTTCTCACCAACTCTTAAACTATCATTCTTCTAAATTATAGCTATTCTAGAGGATATGTAGTGATATCTCATTGTATTTCCCTAATGATTAACAGCATTAAACATCTGTGTACTTATTGGTCATTTACGTATCTTTTTGGTAAAATATCTCTTAAAATATTTTACCCATTTTAAACTTTGGTTGCCTGTGTTCTTATTATTCAATCATGCTTTTTATATATTGGATTCATATTCATGATCAGATATGTGATTTGAAAATATTTCTCCCAGTCTGTGGCTTGTCTTTTCATTTTCCTAGTGACATTTTTTGAAAAGTTTTATATTTTGTTGAAGTCTCGCTATCAGTTTTTCTTTTATCATATGCTTTTGGTGACATAGCTCAGAAATTTTTTCCAAACCCAGGACCACAAAGATTTTCTCCTGTGTTTTTATCTAGAAGTTGTAAACATTCAGATCTTACATTTCTTAAAAATAATTTTGTTTATTTTTTTTGGCTGTGCTGGGTCTTCGTTGCTCCAGGGGCTTTTCATATTCTAGAGGATATGTAGTGATATCTCATTGTATTTCCCTAATGATTAACAGCATTAAACATCTGTGTACTTATTGGTCATTTATGTATCTTCTTGGTAAAATATCTCTTAAAATATTATACCCATTTTAAACTTTGGTTGCCTGTGTTCTTATTATTCAGTCATGCTTTTTATATATTGGATTCATATTCATGATCAGATATGTGATTTGAAAATATCAGTCTGTGGCTTGTCTTTTCATTTTCCTAGTGACATTTTTTGAAAAGTTTTATGTTTTGTTGAAGTCTAGCTATCAGTTTTTCTTTTATCATATGCTTTTGGTGACATAGCTCAGAAATTTTTTCCAAACCCAGGACCACAAAGATTTTCTCCTGTGTTTTCATCTAGAAATTGTAAACATTCAGATCTTACATTTCTTAAAAATAATTTTGTTTATTTTTTTTGGCTGTGCTGGGTCTTCGTTGCTCCAGGGGCTTTTCTCTAGTTGTGGTGAGCCAGGGCTGCTCTCGTTGCAGTGTGCAGGCTTCTCATTGCCGTGGCCTCTCCTTATGCGGAGCACAAGGCTCAGTAGACGTGGCGCATGGGCGTGGTTGCTCCACAGCATGTGGGATTCCTGAACCAGGGATTGAACCTGTGTCTCCTGCATTGGCAGGCAGATTCTTTACCGCTGAACCACTGGGAAAGCCCTCTGGCCCATTTTAATTTTTATATATGATGTGAAGTTAGGATTTGAGTTTTGTGTTTTTTTTTTTTTCTTCCTTTCTCTATCTCACTCCCTTTTTTCCTTATCTTGCTTGTGGATATCTAGTTGTTCCAGCATTATTTATTGAGAAGACTACTCTTTCTCTATTGACTAACTTGGTGCTTTTGTCAAAATTCAACTGACCACAAATAGGTGGGCTTATTTCTGGATTGTCTGTTCTATTCCATGTCTGTCTTCTTTTAATGATTATAGCTTTGTAAAATGTTTTGAAATTAGGTAGTGTATGTTTTCTTATTTTGTTACTCTGTCAAAGTTGTTTTAACTTTTCTAGGTCCTTTGCATTTTTATGTAAGTTTTAGGAACATGTCAATTTACATATACAACCTCCTAGGATTTTGGTAGGGATTGTGTTGAATTACTATTCTGACAGTATTGAATCTTCCAATGCATGAACATGATATATCTATTTATATCTTAATTTCTCCCATGATTATTTTCTAGTTTTTAATTGCAGATCTTGTACTACTTTTGGTAAACTTTTCTTAAGTGTTTTTTGATGCTTATTGTGAACAGAATTGCTGTCATAATTTCCTTTGGGGAATTGCACATTGTTAATGTATAGAAATGCAATTGATTATTTTAGACTTTTTAAATTGAGATAAAATTTAAATAACATGAGTAAGTGGTAAAGCGTTAGTCTCTTCAGTCATGTTTGACTCTTTTCGACCCCATGGACTGTATCCAGGCTCCTCTGTCCGTGGAATTCTCCAGGGAAGAACACTGGAGTGGGTTGCTGTGCCCTCCTCCAGAGGCTCTTCATGACCTAGGGATCGAACCTGGCCGGTCTCCTGCATTGCAGGCAGATCCTTTACTGTCTGAGCCGCCAGGGAAGCCTAATAAGTTCACTATTTTAACCATTTTACACTGTACACACTAGGGGGTTTTAGTGCTTCATATACGCAACCATATATCTGTTTCCAGAACACTGCCATCACCCCTCAGAGAAACTGTACCCATTAGCAGTTACTCCCAATTTTCTCTCTCCTGCCCTGGCAATCACTTACTTTGTGTGTATGAGTTTGCCTTTTCTGGGCATTTCTAACATATAGAGTCATATACCATTTATTCTGGTGTGTCTGGCTTCTTAACATGATTTTAAAAATTTATTTATTTACTTAGTTTTTGGCTGCACTGGGTCTTCACTGCTGCTCTTGGCCTGTCTCCAGTTGCAGTCGCTTCTGCTGTTGCAGAGCCTGGCTCTAGGGCACACGTGTTTAGTTGCCCCATGGCGTGTGGAATCTACCCAGTCCAGGGATTGAGCCTGTGTCCCTGGTATTGGCAGGCAAATTCTTAACAGCTGGACCATCAGGGAAGTCCTAGCATGATGTTTTTGACGTTCATCCATGTTGTTGTATATATCCATAGTTCATTCTTTTTTAATGGCCAAATGATGTTCCGTTGTCTGGATATACTATATAGTTTATTCATCAGTTGATGAACATTTGGGTTGTTTCCATTTCTTGGCTTTTATGAATAATGTTGCTATGAACATTGTTGTACAAGTTTTTATGTGAACATAAATTTTCAGTTTTCTTAGGTACCTAGGAATATAACTGCTGAGTCAAAATGCTACCTGCTTTCATGTTGATGTTTGGCAGAATCCAACAAAATTCTGTAAAGCAATTATCCTTCAATTAAAAAATAAATTAAAACAGACAAAAAAAATGGTAACTGGGTAACTGCCAGTCTCTTTTCCACAATGGCTATACCATTTTTACATTCCTACCAGCAGTATGTGAAATTTCCAATGTCCGCATAACTTTGCCAAAATTTGTTATTTGTCTTTTTGATTATAGACAATGTAGTGGGTGTGATCTCTCATGTGGGAGCTCATGTTTTGCAACTGATTTTTGTATATTTTGTATACTGAAACCTTGCTAAACTTATTATTTCTAGTAGGCTTTTTTTGGGGGAAGGTAACCTCCTTAGGATTGTCTACACACGAGAGCTCATCTGAAAATAATGACAGGACAGCTTCTTTCTTTCCAGTCTTTTTGTTACCTGAATTGCCCTGTGTAGAATAGAAATGGTAAGGGGGGGCATTTTTGTATTGTTCCTAACCTTAGGGAGAAAGCATTCATACTTTTACCAATGTGAAGTTCTCTGTAGATTTTTCATAGACACTCTTTACCAGATTGAGTGAGTTCCTGTTTGTTCTTAGTTTGCTGAGAGTTCTTTTCAGGAGTGTATATCAGATTTTGCCAAATGCAGTTTTTTTGCACTTAAATTATTTCTAAAAGTTTTTTAATATGGTCCATTACATTGATTGATTTTTAAATGTGAAATCAGCCATGCCCCTTGGTCGTGGTGTATTATCCTCTTGTATAATGTTAGATTTGATTAGCTAAAATGCTATTTAACATTTTTGCAACTGTGGCCATGAGGGATGTAAATAATGTGGTTTTCTTGTAATGTCTTTATCTGGTTTTGGTATCAGAATAATGCTAGTTTCATAGAATGTGTTGAGAAGAATTCCCTCCTTTTTAATTATCTGGAAAAATTTGCCTAGGATTAGTATATATCTTCTTTAAGTGTTCGGTAGGATTCACCAGTGAAGTCTACTAGGCCTGGAATTTTTTTCATGGAAATGTTTTTAGCTACAGATTGAATTTCTTTAATGGATACGGGAATATTCAGGTTATTTTTTGTTTTTTTTTAGTGAGCTTTGACAGTTTGTCTTTAATGGAATTTGTCTGTTTCATCTAAGTTCTGGGCTTTATTGGAGGAAAGTT